TTTTAAGAAACCCATAATCCCACCAACATAGGACACCTGATATTTAATGTTGCTTATTCTCATTCAGTCTTTAATTTTATTATTATTATGAATATTCATGAGATACAAATTATCAGAAATTGCTTTTATATCCCCTGTCCCCACCCAATTGTCCCCCAACCACCCTCCCCCGCCCCTCTCACCCCGACACCACTTTGCAGCCCTGGGAATGTTCCCTCCCTCTGTAAGACAACCGCAATACTGTGGTCTTTCTTTCCCTCCTTCCTTCCTCTCTTAGCTCCCACATATGAGTGACCACTCGGTATTTATCCCTCTGTGCTTTGCTTATTTCACTCAACATAAGTTTCTCTAGGTTCATCCATGTTGTTGCAAATGGGAGTATTTCATTCTTTTTTATGGCAGAGTAGTATTCCATGGTGTATATGTGTGTGTATATATATGTACACACCACACTTTCCTTATCCAATCATCCACTGATGGACATTTAGGTTGGTTCCATATCTTGGCTATTGTAAACAGAGGTGCGATGAACATGGGACTGCAGGTATCCCTTCGACATGATGATTTCTATTCCTCTGGGTGTATACACAGAAGAGGGATTGCTGGATCATATGGAAGATCTATCTGTAGTTGTTTGAGAAACCTCCATATGGTTTTCCATAGTGGTTGTACTAATTTACAGTCCCACCAACAGTGTAGGAGTGTTCCCTTCTCTCCATTCCCTCGCCAGCATTTGTTATTCACCATCTTTTTGATTATAGCCAGTCTAATGGGGTGAGGTGGTATCTCAGTGTAGTTTTAATTTGCATTTCCCTGATGACTAGTGATGTTCAGCATTTTTTCATGTATCTGTTAGCCATTTGTATGTATTCCTTTGAAAAATGTCTACTCATCTCCTTTGCCCATTTTTTAAATGGATTAATTGGGTTTTTTACTGCATAGTAGTTTGAATTCCCTATATATTCTGGATATTAATGCCTTGTCAGATGTATAGTTTGCAAATATTTTCTCTCATTCTGTAGATTATCTTTCCATTCTGTTGATTGTTTTCTTTGCTGTGCAGAAGTTTTTTAGTTTGATATAATCCCACTTGCTGGTTACTCCTTCATTCTCACTGCTTGTTATTGGTCTGTTCAGGTTTTCTATTTCTTCTTGGTTCGGTCTTGGTAGTTTGTATGCGTCCAGAAATTTATCCATTTCCTCCAGGTTTTCATATG